ACCTCTCTTCATTTTGCTTACCCCACCATTTTCAAGGATTTTAAAATTTAGTTCACTAAAAGATAGTATTAAGAAATACCTAAGTTTAATTTTTGGCTTTTGTTTATTTTCATAACCTGAGACAAAATGTCAGCTAATACTCTTTCAAAACCATTACCTCTTATAATTTTTTTATCAATAAAGGAATAAGAAAAAAAGTAATATCTTAAATGAAAACAAGGATACTGCCTAATACCAGATAAACAGAGTCATTCACGCTACTTATGGGCAAATTTACACTGCTGTAAGTGATTGTACTGCCTTAACTACTAGACTTCCATCAGTAGTAACGCTAGTATTAAAGGAAAGGAGAACTCTCACATGGGATACAAGGTAAAAATGTTTAATTAAAGACCTTTGTTATGGGTCATTCAACTTTGGAATATAGCTAAATGTGCCAATATTTGAAATCTACAAACAAGATTTTTCCATTTTTTCTAATCGACCTAGTGCCTAAATCTAACATGCATACTACTCTAAGAAACACAGAGCACAAATGATCTTAGAATGTTTATATTGTAGCATTACATATGGAATGGATTTAAAAGCATTAAACATGTGCTACCCCAAAGATTATGTTTCTCAAAATTTTAGTTATGTCCTTATTTGGGGAGTATTTAGACTCTATCATTAAAGTGTTTTTTTTTTCCCTTAGAACCAGTCCACAAGTCTAAATCCTACCAAAAATAAACAGGAAGTGAAGTGTTGAAAAGCTGTAAAGCATTTAGATCCAAGTTTCACAAAAACAGTCTTCATGTAATAAAATCATATTCTAAAATAATTTCCTATGAAAGTTTAAGATTATCAAATATGAAAATAAGGAAAATTATACTTACATTAAAATAATGAAAACTGTAAAAGATTTAATGTTTAACAGTAATATTAAATTAATGAAAAGTCTTAGCCTTGAGTAACTAAATTCAGTAAAGGCTTATTTTTCCATTGAGGCTCCCAGAGTGTTCAACATCTCAAACTGTTGAACTTAACAGTAGAAATAACGCTGGGCTGCTTCTTTCTAAGACATCTTTAAGAATTAACAAGATTAGAACAGCAGAAACCACCCAATCCAGTCCTGTCATCTTAAGGCTAAACATACTGGAACCCAGAGGAGTACTTATCTGAAGTGATATATACTAGTTCGTCACTAGGAGAAAACCCCAAGGTCTCCTGACTTCTTTCTATTTATTATACAGCTGTTATCTCATTAATCCAGTTATAAACCTTGTCAAGTAAATAAATTCATGATTGCCAGAAGTATATCTCCATTAGCTTTTCTTTCGCCTGTTCTCTTCCCCCTTTATAACCTCATAATAGTAACATTTACATTCCTTTATTCAACAAATACTCAACACCTACTGTGTGCCAAGCATTGTTCTAAACATAGCATTTTAGGGGCGGCCGGCCGAGTGGCTCAGTTGGTTAAGAACTCGCTCAAAAGTTTGAGCTCTGAGCAACAGCGGTTCGAGTACCGGCCCGAGCTGAGCAGCCGCTGAGCTGCCAACAGGTGGCAGGATGGCTCAGCTAAAAATAAAATAAAATAAATAAACACAGCATTTTTATATAGGATGTCGGCATAAAGTTACAGTATCACAGTAGAAGTTTGGGGTACTAAACATAGATACAAAATGCTATGAAGAAAGATTTTTAAAAATTTCCCAAAAAAGGGAGATACGTAAAAGGGAGGCATGACTTCAAGGATGAATAGGATTCTGATAAAAGAAGAGCTGTGGGAGCAGTGTCAGAAATTCCAAGGTGGGAACATCAAACACAAAAACCCAAAAGTAAGAGTGTACAGGACTTGTTTGAAGAACAATATCCATTTAGCTGGATCATAAACCATACCAGTAAATAAACGCAGAGAAGCAGGGGCCATTGTGGTGAAATGTCTCCCATTCCAGGCTGAAATATCTGAAAGCAATTTATAATCCTATGGATACAGTGACCACTGAAGATTTATGAGAGTAACACTGGGACTGCATTTAAGGTTAACTTAGAAGAAACCATAGGACAAGAAGCAGGGAATCATTTTGGAAGTTACCGCAATCCTAAAGAGAGATATTAAGAACCTGAGCTAGGGTGAAGGTGGGTATATGGAAAGAAGATTAAAACATTACAGAAGTAAAAATGGCATGCCATGACAGCCAACTGCATGTAGAAGGGAAAGACAATTTGGAGCCTTTAATGGGAAAGAACTTGGGGTGTAATGTTTACAGAAACCAGACAAGCTAAGCTCAAGGTTGAGCTAGATGTAACCTGCTTAGAGATTAGTCTAAACCAAGGGGGAAAACTATTAATCTTCTTTTATTTCAGAAAAGCAAATCTTCCCTTAGTAAAATAAAGATAATAGACTATAACATGCAAAGTATAATATGCAAAAATACCCAAATTAAAGCAGTGTAATTTGGAAATTGCGTACTTTTTATACTCATTTGTATAAACACAGGTACTATAGAACAAGTCATATTTTTATTAAAATATACATACCAAACCTCAGCATATTAAGATGCTAGGAAGGCACTGTATGTTAAAAATAATATTTAACAACCTTGAAAGAAAACTATAAAAGAAATAGTGGCAAAATGCAACTACTAAATATTAGCAGAAGAGAACTACCAATTGATCCCTCATACGTATCATAATCATTTGGTTCAGTTAGATAAATTTGGAATCATCAATGTCTTCTGATGAAATAAAACCCATGGACCTAATTTGGGAGCCCATCTGCACCACCACCTTCTGAAATGAGACACAGTGGTTTTCTGAACTGACTTCTTCTCAGGACTTCATGATTGGGTCAATGAAAAAGGAGCAATCTACCAACTTAGCTTCTAGAACTGAAACTTTGTATTCAAACTTTCAAAGGCAGGACTGAAGGGGACCAAAGTTTTGCCTCCCCAAAAATATGCCTTTTGGGATATTGATTTGGGGTTGGTTGGTAGGAACAAAAGATTCAGAAAGAACCTTTGATCCTCTCCCCCTTTATTTGCCATGGGGAAGTCAGCTCACAGGAAGGGGGCATCACCTTAGTATCCTACTATCAACTAAACGTGGCAGACAGAAAGCTAGCAAAGCCTGTTTGTTGAACTTGCCTGTATACCATTGTTTCTGGGGGGCTCGGCAAGAATTTGTTTACCACATGTTCACTCTTTCTCATCTACCTGTAAATTGCTTCCTTTCCCTTTGAAATCCCAGACCCCTGCCCCCCATTCTCCCTGGTCCAAAATGGCATATGAACCTCAACTGCCCAATGCATCTCATTTTCTTACGGCACCCCCTCATGTACAACTGTAATAAATTTTGGACATCTTCTCCCATTAAAAACGAAATAAAAAAAATAAATAAAAACACCATGTGGTCTTTCTGCCAACTGTTTAACAAGTAAACTCTGAACTCTTTCAGGGCAGGGTTTATGTCCTAGACACCTCACAGCCCGCGCTCAGATTTTAGGAGGCCCTCAACAGATCTCTGATAAAACGAATAAATGGAAATCAACCAAGGATTGTTTTTCAAGCAGACAGCACTTTCATAACCTGGTGAGTATTACACAACAGCACAGAGCTAATGATCTAATATGTGAGTGCCTACTATTCAATAGGTAAAGGAGTCGGAAAGTGAGTAACATACGACTCCTCCCTTGAACTTAGGATTGCTTTCTCTAAACAAGTCAACCACCATAGGCTTTACCAGAAAACCTTGATTTGCCCTATTTGTATGACCATCACTGAGTCTCTTAACTTCTTTAAGCTTCCTGCTTCTCATCTGAAAAACAGATGAGGATTCAGAAGAAAAGAAACATGAGTGCTCTGTAAAGTACAAGTACGAGGTATGCCAGTTGGCTGGCTGCCCACAGGACTCATCACCAAACTCTGATCAGTCATTTCATTAAAAATAACACTGACACAAGCAAATTCAAGCATTTGACTGGCTTAACACAAAGCCATCATTCCACTACCAAAATCTCAAAAAAAAAACCTACTTAAGACAGTAGGTCAGAAATAAGGTCTTAATATGAAGGCAATACAATTTAGAGAAAGATGACTTACAAACTTTCACACTAGACAATTTTTAAAAATTAAAAGGACATGTTTTGATTTATCTGAGTTTTGCTGGAAAATTCCTACTGTAAGTCAAGACACAGAATACTATTGAAATTCGAACTTTAAATAATATTTCTGAACGATGAAATAATGCAACTACTTTTTGAGAAATAATGCTCCTCCATCTAAGACCATCCATTTCAGTTGAGTGCAAAACCCTGAAGTTTCAAAACTTTAAACTTCTGAAATACACTAATAAACAATTTTGGGGGAAAAATTAAGACTTAAGTACTTCAACTGATCAAACCCAGCTTCTAACTGCACAAGAATAAATAAGCTCCTCAGAAGACGTGCAATATAGCCATAGCACTGTTTTCTTACCCACGTAAATGATCCTTACAAGACAATAAAATGCATCACTTGAACCAGCATTTCTTCACAGAATATGCCTATCAACACCACACTCTCAAAGTAGGCAAGTGTAAAAAAAAACTAAAAATCTTCCATCAAAAATAAAAGATGCTGTCAAGATGCTTCTGAGCTAAATGCTGATGCACCTATTTTAACTTAATTATCTAAAACTGGTATGCAAATATGAAAATGCATCACCATTTGTACGTGAAATTTATATAGCAAGGAAACCTTTATCATACAGACCTTAGATTTTTCTTTTGATGGGTTTTATATTTATAATCTACTGTTCCTTTCATTTAATTCAGGAAAAAATAATAATAAAATGAGGCATAAAGAATGAAGAATTTAAGACTATTTTCCAGAAAGGTGACTTTTAAAACTGTTCTTCCATTGCTTGGACAATACAAAACATGCTTAAACTATTACAGACTCATATGCGAGGAAAATTTTCAGTATTAAAGGTTTTGAAGATTCTATACTCAAATTGTGCATTATTAAATGCTTTCTTACCTTCTGCTACATCATCATCTACTGCTCCTTTCACCTGAGAAAAACACCACTGAATATCATTCCCTCCTCCAGCTCCTAGAAAAAGAAAACATACCAATTAAAACTGAGCTCTGTTCATGTTTACGCTGGTAAACACTGAGATGATATCCACGGTTGGCATGATACTAACAGCCTCGTACTGCCCACATATACCTCCACCACCCCAGAGCACTAATTTGGAAAAAGGTTAGTCCCCAATAGTTGGTATCACTTTAGAAAAAACAGAGATTCAGGGTATGAAATATGTAAAGGCCATGTACTGTCATCAACACTGTACATGTGTTTGAAACATCCTTTTCCCTCAAATACAGTTAAAAGCCTTACATTTAAGCAAGACCTACCAGGAAAAAGCAAATAACCAAAAGTTAAGAGAGTTTTCCTTTAAGTGTACAAAAAGCCTGCAGAAGAGTCAATAAAGTTAAACTACCATAAAACATGGAACGAGGAGAAAACTTCAGGAACATTACTGCCTGCGTGAGGAGTAATGATTCATGTGAGCCCTATCACCAAAGCGCATATACAGCAAACACAGCACTCACCACCCATTTCTTGCATTTCATTACCAGCAAATCACTGGCTCCAGAGAGGAAAAGCAGAAATGAATACTGGTGAAGAGACTGTCAAAAGGAAGCTTGTTTTGCCTCCCTTCACCTTATCCCTGATTCCAGAGGACCTTGCAAAGAATTAATTTTGCCAATTTGTCATCTTGTGCAAAACAATTTTAATTTCACTTAATTATTCAACAAGGCCAAAGAGCAACTTGTTTATAGCAAACCATAAGTCAACCCAACATGTTAACTTTTTCAAAGATTTAATTATCTATCTAAATATTGAAAAAGGCCTGGAAAATTGGTTTAGTCTCTGAATGTTTCTATTTCACTTCTAAGCACTTGAGGAGGAAATGTCCTGAATCCATGGAGAAAGAAACTGAATCTGATCTAGAATGGATTCTGCTAGATGAAGGAAGATATTCAGCAACACCAAAATGTACAAAAGTAATCCTCAAAGCAATTACCTTGCTCTTCCTTCACTCCCATTCCTTGCTAAACATTACAACCTGGTTTTCTCTCTGCATCCCCTCTCCACCCCAAGCTTTTACCTAAATCTCTCTACCCTTGGCTATTTATATCACTTGAACTCCACAACTATTTTAACTAACTCTATTGAATGCCTTTTGGGAAAAGGACATCTGCACAAAAGCTAACATGCAAAACGGAAAGTTGAAATTACATTTTTCATGCAACTTGCTGTATTAAAGGCCTTGTACTCTTTGGACGTAAAGGGCAAGAAACGGAAGGGAGATGGTTTAAAACAAAAAAAAATGCAGGTTTATAGCCTCAAAAATATACGTACCCACAGTGGGAAAAAATACACATAGGTACCAATTTGTATTTTAACTTGTAAAGCACTCTTCGTTCTCAGTGCAAAATATATTTGTATAAACACCCAAGAAGGCTTGCAACAGGGGAAAAAATAGTAATTAAACGAAGGAAGATCCGCCAAAAACCCCGGGGCGGGGGAAGTGGGGGGAGCAGAGGTCACACCAGGCTCCAAAGCAGTGGGGACAAATCTGCACTCGCCCCCACCCCGCCCCACCCACGCCTTTACCCCACAGCTCGCCGGCATACACCCCACCCCCATCCATGCCAAGGTTCCAGCCCTCATTTTAAAAGCCATTTCGGTATCACAGCGGCCACTCGCCGCACCAGAACCCTCTCCACCCTCACCCACCCCACTTGACCAGTTCCCCGAAATCCAAGGGGCGCCCCGTGGCTCTACGCGAGGCAGAGGCGGTCGCTAGGGGGTGATGGAGGGAGGGAGGAAGGAAGCGGTGCCTTGTCAGTGGACGAGGGTGATTTCTCCTTTACCTGCCATGTTGCGCTGCAAATGGTGACCCTGCTGGGTTCCTCGGGGTCTCTGCTTCCTGAACTCACCCCCCTCACCTGGGGATGGGGGGGTAGAGAGGGAGGATGGCGGCGGATGGCACCTGTGGGGGGAGGGGGCGGGGGTCGGGAAGAAGGAAGGAGGGGCGGGCAGACCAGCCAGCAGGATGGTGGATTTCACTCTTGTGCTTCCCCGCTCTTGCTCTTTCTTTAGCAGCGGCGGCGGCAGCTACGACAGCGACGGCGGCAGCAGCGGCAGCGGCAGGGGCTCCACTTTCAAAATGGCGCCGGCTGGCCTAGCCAGTGACGTCACCTGGGGGCGGAGTCGCCGGGCTGGGCCAGAGGGCGGGGCGGGGCAAGAGCTGGGGGGGAGAGGAGAGGGGGAGCCGCCAGGCGGGCTCCTGGCTCCACCCCTTCCTCCCCTTCCCGGCTGCTGTGTCCCAGCTGGCTATCCTGTGCAGCGCCCGGGAACACACACTGATGATCCGGTCCCCGTGCCCGCTCTCCCGGTTTCAGCCCGCAGCCCTGCTGCACATCACAGTGTCCCAAGCCCTCGCGCCGGTGTCCGGACGCTGGGGCGGGCTCAGCTGTCCAGTTAAAGTGCTCACTGAGGAATTCGTGCAGACCTGTGTCGTTTTAGAGAATGCCGGTATTGCTGCTTAAAATAGTGACCCTGTGGGTTAGCCCTGAGGCCACCGAAGAAAAAGGACAGTGGTGCAAACTCGCTGCTTAGCCAAGGTGAAAGTGCACGGAACTTAAAAGGACGTAGCTGGGATGGTTCCATCTGGGTGACCCAGGAACTGAGGCGAGAGTCCTTGACGACTGAGAGCGGTTAAGAGTGGTTACTAAACAGAACACTGAGTTTGCTACTAGCAGAATATGGCCGAAAACGTGGCCCAGTTCTGTCCAACTTGAAGTGTAGAAACGGTGTTTAAGAGCTGGTCTCTGAAGCCAGGCTGCCAAATGCTGAGTCCACACATGAGATAATGGTAACAATTCTAACTTACAGGATTGTTTCAAAGATTAAATGACTTAATTTGAGTGCATGATAAATATTAGCTGTGGTTATCATTAGATTTGTATTAAAAGCATCTTCAATAAAGTTAAGAGGTATAAGGAAAAAAATAAATGGAAAACACCAGTCATCAGTCAAGAGGGAATGTGCACTTCATTGAAAGATGAATTAATGATGCAGTCACTATATGTTGTATACTTTACATGTCACTGAATCTCCACAATACTCCCATGAGATAGATATCCAAATTTTCCACATGAAAAACACCTGCAAAAATATTTAGAATTTTACCTTAAGGCTGAAGAGAGTGATAAGGCATTTGGAGACCAAGGGAAAGTTTTACAATACTTACCTCCTGTCCATCATTCCCACTTTCTACCTTATTCTTGTTCTCCAGAAGAGTTCAATTATAAAACAAGATTCTGAATTCTTCCACATGGAACAGCTGTACCACTGTATTATTATTCCTCCATTTCTACATTAATATTTCTCACTTTACCAATGAACAAACCAAAATTAAAAATCTACCCTGTGTCTGTCATCTTTCAGTTACCTGTACAAACAGGTACAAAATTTCATTGCATTGTTTGCTGTATTTACTTCTATTTTGGTTGATTTCATAAATGTGTTTCTCTGCATATGCCTTTACCATTCATTTTCCTTTTCAACTAGTGAGGGTTCTCCACCTTAACCAGAACTCAGAGGGAGAGGGAGAGAGGAAGAGAGAGAGAGAGAGA